TTAGTTTCTGTACTTATATTCCGCAACAGTAGTGGTTGGAACATTTTGCAGCTTTTGAATATACAGTTGGATTGAAGCACTGAAGTGGTAGCCTTGAGAACAATGAATATGGTTGGCTCAATGACAACTGCTATATTGCTCAAGTAGGTATAAACTTGAGATACAACTTTAAACTCACAGCTTACATAAATTGATAGTGTTAGTTTAATTGATTGGTTATGTATTTTCTTATTCCTAGGACTATTGTTTATAGAAATATCAGTACAATAATATACAGAAATAGTAAGGGTCCTTGGCATTCTTATTGTAAGAGGTAATTCTCTTGCAGTTCTTACTTGATATAGATACTAGTTGAATTCATGCCTTAAAATTTTTGAATAAGTACCTAACAAATGAGATGAAGTAAGTTGATAGTATATAAATTTTATTTTTTCGGTTCAAGTTTTGGCACTTTCTTGTTGCTTCTTTTGCTTGAAATTAGCTCCAGAAGATTATGGGCGCTGGCTTGATTTATTTAACTAATTATTAGTTTATATTTTATAGTTCGTTTCCTCTACTTCAGTTTCCAGTGTTGTTATTAGCTTTTAGCTGGTGCAAGTTTAACTTCTGCGAATCATTGGGCTGGATTACAACTCATACTTTATTTGTTCAACGCTAGAAAGCTTATAGAGGCTGACTTGTACTTTAATAGTTATGTAGGTGATTTTTTTCATGAATATATGGCTAGATTTTATGCTGCCAAGTAGAAATGTTTTGGAGGTAAGTTTTATGATGATATACGAGGAAATAACTTTGTACATTAGTTCTTATTCATGTAAGAATATCCAGTAACTTCTGTTCAATGCTATTGGACCAAGTGACAGATTTATTTGTAAGAAGATTTGTAGCTTTCTTTTATTTATGTAATTAGATTTGTCCTTTTAGCCTGTCAAAATGCTAGTTGTTTACAAGTTTTTCATCTACTTTTGTTTCATTGTTTCAGCATAGTGATGTGGAGATCGAGTGTGTTTCAACCATGGATGTAAGAGTATCATTAAGTGACAGCAATACAAATCACCAAGCAAGTACTTTCCACTTTTGTATATTTATTTGTTGAGTAACTACTCTAGTCTCTAGATTGTCTAGTGTTTAAGTTATCATATGTGTGTTTGTATAATTTAGTTTGTAATGTTTGTTACTATAGATATTTGTAATTGAATTTGAGCTACTAATTTAGTAAACAATTATTTATTGAATCCTAGAATTAAAATTTTTAAATAGGTATTGTGGCAGTTTATAGCTGTCACTGTTTAATTTTTTTTTAAAGATTGAGATCAAATTGTGGGGGTTATAAACCCCCATAAATTAACTTTTTTAAACGTTAAGATCATATTATGGGGGTTAAAAATAGTCGCTAATTGCTTTTTAAAACTACCACAAATTAGTATTTATTTTGTGGCGGTCGTTGAGAAGGTTTTAAAAAATTGCCGCAAAAATGCTTGTGGCGATCATAAATGTGGCGTTTTTTTAAACCGCCACAATTCATTTTGTGGGGGTCGAAAACTGCCACTAATCGACCAAAAAATCCCCATAAAATGAGCCTTTTTTTGTAGTGAGGACCACAAATTCAAAAAGTATTTATTTTTTCTTAAACTCCGTGTTCAGTCAAATGAGTTTACATAAATTGGAATGGATGGAGCATTAAAAAGGGCAAATCTGTCAAATTGTATTTTATCTATATTTATTTTAAATAGGTTCAATAAATGGTTACAAGAAAATTAAAATAAGGGAGATAGGCGTAATATTGTAAACCACAAAGGAGTTTAGTGTGATAAGGCTAAACGTGGAGGGAGGATATTTGAAACAAAAGTAGCAATTAAAAAGTTACGCATGTAACACATAAGATGTTTACACATTCGCAGGTTCATTCAATGACTAAGGAGTCCAACTATAGCACATAGGCCAGATTCGCTAAAAACAATTAAACCATTCAATTTTAACACCAGAACCAAGAAGAAATAGCCACTGGACGGTTCCCATTCAACTTGATTTGTCTTCAGCTAGCCATTTGTAGGCAAAAAAGAACTGGTTCTCTTCAACAAACAAAACTAACCGCTTTGTACAGTTTTTGACGGTTTGTAGCCCCCACAACCTCAAAAAAGGTGTCAAAATAACATGAAAACATTGATATGTTGGCTTGCAAATGCAAAGCCCTCTTTCCCCTTACAGCATCTATTTATTCACACCTCGACTCACTCCCTGGAACACAACAGTAAAGAAAGATATCAAGAAACTCCATTTTTGTTAAGGCATAAATTAAGGATAGTACTGGCAAAAATACAACTATTTTTCTTTTATTATGTTGTCTTAAGTTAGAGAAGTTGGAAAAAGGGTGTCTAATTCGACTTTTCTTGATTTTAAAGCAAGAAATGTCCACTATGTGGCTCTTCATTGTGGGGTTTCTTTTTGTGGTTTCCTGTGTCCATGGCAATGAACAAGGATGGATTCAAGCTCATGCCACTTTCTATGGAGGTGGTGATGCTTCAGGGACCATGGGTTAGTTAGTTCTCTGCTACTCATAGGCCTCTGCTTTTCTGCTATCTACCTCACAAATATTAATTTCACATTATAAATTCTTTTTATCTCATTGGTCACCTAAAAATAAGAACAAAGAACTATTTTAATACTCCTTTCCTATTTTATGTGATATAATTACTATTCAAAAATTTAAAGGAAGCTTTTACAGCAATTTTTCATTTGCTTTTCTTAAATATTATGAATTGTTAATTATTGTGACTTATAGTATTTTTATATAGTTTTTAAATATTTAAATTTTGTTTAAAAAAACGTGAAAATTTTATGTTCTACTTCACACTAAAGATTAGATAATTTGACCATCGTATTTTAAATTATACCACATAAAAGATTAAATTACACTAATCGTATAAAAAAATTACTCCCTCCGTTCACTTTTAGTTGGCATGTATATTAAAAATAGATTTTCATTTTTACTTGACACTTTACTCATATTAAGAGAAGACAAAAAAAAATTTCTGTTATACCCACAATATTTATTACTCATTACAAATCATTTTCTCAAACGCAATAAAATATGCATCAACTAATATGGTATCATGGTAAATTATACACTTCATTTATTATTTCTTAAGGAGCGTAAAAAGTCAAAATGTGCCAAGTAAAAGTGAAGGGAGGGAGTACTAAATGTGTATGTGTTAAATCCTGTTGTGTTATATCCAGATTTTGAGAAGTTACATACAATTATTTACTAATAACTTGGATAATATCCAGGTGGGGCATGTGGTTATGGGAATTTGTACAGTCAAGGGTATGGTACAAACACAGCAGCATTGAGTACAGCACTGTTCAACAATGGGTTGAGCTGTGGGGCCTGCTTTGAGTTGAAGTGTGTGAATGACCCAAAGGGGTGCCTAGGAGGGTCAATAGTGGTCACAGCCACCAATTTCTGCCCGCCAAACTATGCCCTCCCAAATAATGCAGGTGGGTGGTGCAACCCTCCATTGCACCATTTTGACCTCTCTCAGCCTGTTTTCCAACAAATTGCCCAGTACAGATCTGGGATTGTTCCTGTTGCTTACAGAAGGTAAAGCATACAATTAATCTACCTCCTTTTTCTTGTTTCTAGAGTCTCTGTTTTTTCCCTTTTTCTTTCCCTGTTTCGCACTTGAATTGACATGTCTCATTTCTTCAGAATTTGTAGCTTATAGACCACAGTAAATTATTTTGGGCCGGAAATAAAAAAGTTGGTTCTTGTTTCAGACAGAAAATTAGGCACACAACCAAGTTGATTTTGCTCACACTGTCACACGCTACCTAAGAATGTGGGCTTGTAAACGAGCTCACTGCTGCTATTTCACGTGAATTGGTGCCCCCTCTAATTTATCCATGTGTCGGTCAAAATCTTGCTGAGGAAGTTGGGCGTGGAAAGATCGTAAGGTGAAAAGACTGTGTCCCGAGTTGGGCAGATAGGACGAGGTCGACCCAAGCCCAATAACGATCAGTCGCAGAGCGAGCCGTAGAAGTCGAGGTCGAATAGCGAAAGATAGGAATCACGGCCAGTGTACTCTTGGAACTACTGACAGGAATATTCTCCTAGATATTCCCTTTGTTGTACTTTTTGGGGTTAAAGTTTACCTTTCCACAGTGACTGATTTCATCGATTATTATTCTTTTCCACTCACATGATCCAAGAAAGCATTACTCATATTCTTGGTGACTGCCATATTCCGTGGTCAGAAGGAATAATCTTCCACATTATTTGATATTTAAGTGACTTGTTCTTCCTATTTACATATATTGTCATTTCTCATATTTATTGCTCATTATTCATTTTTCATTTACTCCCTAAAGTGTGCATTTAATGACTGAATATACGAGTATATGCATTTTATAAACAGTCTCACCCAAACTCTAATCTTGGATTTAGAACTTATTATATTTAATTAGAATTTACCTATCATCATTCACTTAATTAGTTTAACAAAAAGGTTTAAGACTTTTTGGTCAAACAATCCATGTATGCGTCGTTGGTTAATTATGGTTGCATTTCGATCGGAACAGATAGATATTTTCTTGTGGAAAGAAAATTAATCATAATATTGTGACATTGAGGTTGAGATTAATTTGTGTGATGAATGCAGGGTACCCTGCAAGAAGAGAGGAGGTATCAGATTTACTCTGAATGGTCACTCATACTTCAACTTAGTCCTAGTGACTAACGTAGGAGGTTCAGGGGATGTCCATGCAGTTTCAATTAAAGGCTCAAGAACAGATTGGCTACCCATGTCTCGTAATTGGGGTCAAAATTGGCAAAGCAACTCCTTTCTTGATGGCCAAATCCTTTCCTTCAAGGTCACCACCGGCGACGGCCGCACCGTCGTCTGCATCAACGTTATCCCCGGCAGCTGGTCCTTCGGCCAAACTTTCACCGGCGCCCAGTTCACTTAATTAATCCGTCAACAATCAATACTATAAAAGAATAGTATGTGCAAGTGTTGTGTCATAGGATTTTTCTACTAGTGATTAGTATTAGTGTTGAAATTATGGGAAGGGCTTGTTTTAAAGTGGCTCTTATCCATTTGTTTAGGGTGTTCATGAGGCCACCTAATTCGAATTCTTAATACACAGTTCGAATTGTGACCTTTTAACTACTGAATTGTCTGTCTAAGTAAGACATTATTAGGGAGTTAATATGTATAAAGTCGTATATTTCTGTCAAATGTCATTTTAGGACGACAGAAATTAGGCAGAGGTGGAATGATTTTATTGTTGGTCACCACCCGCTGTAGTAGTACTTCATGGTAAGGGTAATAGTAATTATGGTGAAGCCTCTTCTTCTTCTTCTTTTTTTTGTGTGTAACTTTTATGTTATGTTTTTATAATATGGTCCCAACTTCCACCGTTCAAAAGCAGTTCGTGACATTGTTCTCGTGATCTTCTACTTATTAATTCTATACGAAGAAACTTGCACTGGGAATTGGAGAAGGCATGCAGGAGGAAGAAGTCAAAAGTGTGTCGTTTTCTTTTCCTCGTTTCGTGTGTATTTTTCAGATTGTAAAACCGTTTGACCATGTCCGTTGTTTTAAGTTTAAGGAATAAAAGTAACAATAGCCCCAGTGGGGTCTATGCTTGTTGGATTATATTTCACATATTCTAGTATTAGGGTTGTCGGATAGGGGCTTCTAGAACTTTTTGTACTTCATTTCCGGGGCTAGGTGGGGTTTGGTAGGGCTCTCCATAGATGACTTGCGTATTGTATTGTGCCCCCTTATGGTAGTTACTGGTCGATATTATTGCATGCCATTTAATTTATGGTTTTATGTTTAGATAATTATTTATGCGATTTCTACTGGAGTCACTAATGCTCTTTTTTTTTCTTTTCCTCTCCTGAGCCGAGGGTCGATTGGAAACAGCCTCTCTGTCCTTTCGGGTAGGGGTAAGGCATGTGTATGCACTACCCTCCCCAGACCCCACTCTGTGAGACTATACTGGGTAGTTGTTGTTGTTGTTTTGTATCTCTTCCCTTTCTCTTTTTCGAATTCTCTATCCTCTTTTGTGTCCGGTGGTGAATGAAACTTGTTTGTTTAAGAAAGAAACAGAAATTGTGTAAAAATGTTTTTGAGAGAAATGAAATAACCGAAAACTCCTTTTGTTTTAAATCCTATCCAAAACCAAAATGGAACTGGTTGACAGAATAGCTTGTATACGGGTGAAACCGGACCCATAAGATGGCCCGGTTTCCGATAAAATAAATCCAATAAGGGACGTGATAACAAGGAGCGGAATCGGGGTAAGGGAGTCATCGAGATAGGTTCCGGGGCATGATGCCCGCCCTCAAGAATATTGGGGCCATGACCCCAGATCGGTCCAAATCCCAAAAGACTTCAGAGAGTGCATTATCCGGCAATCGAACACGATTAACAGAAGGCCGTAGTATCCGTGACCAGCCGGATATCACGGCGTGGATTTCGGCACGTACTGGCAGAAATTCAGTGATTAGTTAAACGAAAGATTTTTACATTTATGAAATTGTACCTAAAGTAGGACTCCCCTACTATATATAGGGGGGGGGGGGGATCTGATTATTCATTAGCAACATTGTAACGCACACATACCAAAGCAATATACTGTTATTTTCTTAATTATTCAAAGTTCTTATTCTTGTTCATCAGTGTTTAGTATGTGAGCCCGGATCAAGGGCAGATATTTCATCAAGACTGGAATCATCCTCCTCAAGTGGTATGATAATATTTTATATCTTTATCTGTTTAATTTAACGCAATTTACCGTTTGTATTGAATTATTCTGTGTATCCTTAAAACCACTTATAAATTTAATTGTTGTATCTGTTTTTTAGGATAAATAATTTGGCGCCCACCATGGGGCTAAGGATAATAGGGGTTGTTTGATACAAATTTTCACAACACACTCTGCTTTACTCTTGCTCTTTGAGATCTTATTTTCAATAAAACTTAAAGATGTCAAACTCTAAGTTTGCTCACCTAAACGTTGATGCTGAATCTGGCCACCACGGCGAGAACAACAATATAGTGCCCAGCAACGAGGTTCACCTTGCTGACCCCAACGGGTTCCCGATCGTAGATCCATTCGATGCCAACTCGCCATCGATGCTAACTTGCCCCCCGACCCGGAAAATAGCATCCGCAGGGGAGCCAAGTCAGTAGCCAGGGATACGCCCGGCAGTGAAGGCGATAGGGTCAACTTGCAGGTGATCTTGTATGCATAAAAATCAATTAACCGCAGAAGCTATTTGAGATTTATATATATATTCAAATCAAGGCATGAAAACCTTAAATCCAAGATTTATGAAGAATTTTTTATTTAAAAAAAAAAAGCAAAATCAAAATAAAATAAATATATTTTCATGTGTAATGTATACAATCCGATTATCCAACCTTACAGAACTATCCATTGAGCCCTTATGCCAAAGAATTAAACTGACCACTTGGAATAATTCACGACTAAAAGAACAAATGAAACAGCATCATAGCATATGTTTACCCTAAAATCGGATAACAATTGAATTTATACGTGATTTTAAGGATACGTGATATAACTAGGTACAGATTAAGAAGAATAAATTAATATTGAAATTGACGATAAAAGAATAAATGCAAACCACACAAATTAAATAGCCTCGGCCCTCGAGTTCAGTCTCCCTTGAACCAAAAGATGTTCCAATTGACTTATGAACAGAGTAACAAAAATAATGAAAGCTAGAAAATGACAGTATATTGCTTTGTATTGCATCAATATCATCTGTTTTACAAATGATCAGACCCCCTTTATATAGCAAGGGAGTCCTACTCTTGATACAGTTCTATATGAGGTAAGAAATCTCATGATTAACTAATTAATCGGCATCTTCTCAATACGTGCCGGGATTTCAGTCGTGATCCTCGCCCGATTGCGAATATTTCGACTTTCCATTATTTGGCTCGGTAAGTTTCCCTCGGTCTCTATCTTGCTTGGTCTCAATCTTGGCCGATCTCGATCTTGATCGGTCTCTGGGTCATGAGCTCGACGATCTAACTTTGCATCATGGTTCGATATAACACGAAGTCGAACCTTGACCTATCGTATTCCAATCTCAATTAGTCACAAAAAGGGCAAGCCTGGTTTTGACCGTATGCAGATAGTTCCATCATTTCTCGGACAGAAGAGGACGAAAAACGATATGAACTTCCGAGCCCCATCTCGATGGGCCATGTAGGCGACGAACGTCACTGATACACCCGAATATGACGTAAGCAACAAATCGAAATGTCCCGTCGGTCCAATTACCAAGGTATTAAATGCATGTCAGTTGGTGGTCGGCCACCATGGGTTCTAAACCGTCATCGGCAAGCTATAAGTATTGTAACCTTCCTCTATTCAAACTTTACGTTCAAAGCTCCTCCTATTCTTGTTTCTCTTCAAAAATCCCTTTGCTTTGCAATTCTTGTACCCAAAAATTCTTGAAATTTTAGCAAACTACATACCGTCCTAATTCCTTTTTCTTCGGCTCTACAAGGCGAAAACTTCTAAGACTGTATCGCAAAAGGAGGCCGCCTTTTCATCACGGACCACCGGTAATTGCGGCGGAATATCCCCTTGAGGATTTCGTTTCGACAGGGTGCCCTACTGTTGCTAATTTTAAGATTGGAAAGACCTCCTCGGTACCGGGTTGATGTGAACCGGTCTCGAGGTACATATGCACAATTACCGATGATCTCATTGCCAAGGTTAAAGAGGATTGCAACTGAGTCGATAAGCATGTGGTGGTACCTTCGCCCGAGGAATCGATCACTACCCACGTGGAGGGTTTTCTAAGTGTTTACACTTACCCCTTCACATTGGGTCCCTTAGACCCTATCATCGTCGCCTTCTGCAAGAGGTACGACGTGACCCTTGGCCAGACCCATCCTTCCTTCTGGAGAATAGTGATTCTCCTTCGATTCTTCATAAGAAAAATCGAGGGATGTCCCTTCACCCTCGATCACCTTATGCGCCTTTATCGTCCCCGACTCTATGGAGGAGGGCTGATAAAGCTTGCTCGACGGACCAGCAAGGCCTCGTTCTCGAGTATAGACGAGGCTTGGGACTGAGTTTGGATGGGCCAATTTTTCTCAATAAAGACTTCGGACCTTATCCCTGCTAAAGACATGTCGTTTCCTGAGAAAGGAACACGAATCGTGAGTAGTACTCTGCCTTGAATGTTCAATTTTGTTGTTTTACCTCTTATCTTCTTCCTTATGGATGTTTTTGGTGTTGCAGTTGTGGCCCAGGTGCCGGACTGTTATGCCCCATGTTTTTGTACGTGAAAGTACGCCATAAATAAATTGATATAAGCTGTTCATAACATCATCAAGCCTCTGAGTGCATCCCATCATATCATCTCGGCCGCTGTGGGCAAAATCATTAACGTATACCAGCTGATCAGGTGGTGGTGCGTATATAACGCCGCAACCTTTTCCCATATCCCATATACATATAATATGCATATATATACACGTATATAATACCATCTGGTCATGATCTCATGTACATGTATATGTGAATGCAATGCATGAGAAGTACGTCAATAAAATCTTTCGGAATGTCATAAGACCATTATACCTTTGATTAATATCATGAAATAAACTTTATCAACTTATGTATTTTCTGAGACACATGAACAGATGATAGAATAATAAGACATATCTGAATCAAGAATATAGGAACCTCTAGTATTTCTATGAATAGAGTCATTTATGGAAGTTGTGCATTTGCTCGTTTCGTTTGCATCGTATGGATCATGCCAAAAGGAAAGAAGGGATAGCCTTAACATACCTTAGCTGATTCTCTTGACGATAACACACGTCAATTGCGATAAATCACATAACGACGGATCGAAGTAGGAAAAAATCCATATGATATTCTTGAGAAATATTGCACCGTACTCCCTTAGAATTACAAAATCCCGTTACCGTAGAGTTATAAGGCTCATATGAGATTATTGAGAATCCCATCCGTTACCATTGTTGAATCTCTTAACCGATCTCCATTTAATGAATTAGGGAGATTGAATTTTTATCTTATTTGAGTGGCCCCACTTTAGGGGATGACTTAGCCAAAAAAAGCCCCTAAATATGCCACCTAGCCCCTAGCCAAAGAGTCACATTTACATATTCCCTTGGCTGCCACGTTGGTCTTTATTAACCTTATCCAAATCTTAATTTATTAATCACTAATTCCTTAATTAATTGTTAATCTCTCACTAAAATCAATAATTACCCGATTATCCACATAATTAAGAATTATTTTAAATTACTTAAAATACTACTCACTTTTAACACACC